TGTTAATGCAATTATTTCGTCAAGTCACAAAAAGCCTGTCGTAACTCCTTAACTGGGTTTGGAATGTATAAGGTGTAGGCAGAAGATTTCTAGCGTCCCATTGTTTTGATTATGTGAGTTGGAATATGGTTGAAGGAAGCAGATTCTGCTGCCCCTATGCAGAAGGAATGGTCTGAGTAATGAATATAGTTTAGGCACAGTCTGGTCAAGAGAAAAATGGACATAGTGCATGCATTTGGCAGTGGTACCGTGTAGTTCTAACAGTAGTTTTTGTGGCTGTTTTTGAAAGGTATTGAAGTATGCATCCAACACCTTAACGGGACACCATTTGTTGGAGGTAGAGAAAAGGGGTATGTCAACAGTGTGCTCCCTTTGGCTGGTTTTGGAATGGCAAAGAGACAGAATGTAATGGTCACTGGATTGGTGAATATCTGCCATTTTAAGGCAGTAGGTGTTGGTGATACTGGTGGAAGTAAATTCCCCTGGATGAAGGAACCCGTGAAATCCAAGATAGATGGCTGTTTTAATTACAATGTTGGTTGTATGTTCGAATGGTGCTGTATCTAATAGGTCGGATAAAGACTGGAACAGTTTGTTGTGGATGGGTAATCTTTTGTGGGGTAGGTATGTTTGTGTCTGTCGGATTCCCTTTAGCAGTGTTTTCATCTGGTAGTATGAAAGAAAACCGGTTTAGTTGGGATGTTGTAATAACATGTGGTGTTGTATGCCCGTTAAATATAATTTGATGGTGTTAAATGATAACTTTGACTTAACATGACAAAAGGAAGTGAACCCCAACAAGGTCTGCAGAGCAAAAGTGTCTCGAACCCAAAACTCCACCACAGACCTGGCAAGAACGTGAAAAGACCTGTCATAGGATTTCCTGGAGCTGACAGAAAGTGCCATATTGGAAAGAGTGTGTGCTCAGGCCAGCAGCGAAGTCAATCCAGGAGCATGATCTGGAAAGGCGGGATAAGGGCAGCCATACTGGAAGTGGTGGGAAGAGCCTGGAGGAAAGCCTGGAAACGAAAACGAGACAAGTGGTCAGCAGCAACGTTCGTGATCATCGGGACGAGAACACAAGTAAGGATAAAGTGTCTGGTGGCTGCCACTCAAGTGAGTCTCCACAAAAGCCTCATGATTACTAAGGAGGAGGAGTGGCCAGTATTGATGTGGCAAGGTTGTCGGAAAAGCACCTGATGGAGTGACCCGTCCAATCAGTCACCCAGGCAATAGCAGGGTCCATAATGGAGTACAGTTCGAACAAGGCCGAAGTAGTAGAGAAAACAGGCAGGGAACTAGCCGCACTAGGCCATGGGCCCCAGAGTCATCTGTCTCCCCATATGGCAGCAAATCCAGTGTTGGCCGCCGCATCAGTGCAGAGAGTGGGGGAGGAGTTGGAGATAGGAGGAACATGGCGTGCCCATTCCAAGAAGTGAGGAAAGAGTCCTACATGCGTAAATCGTCCGTCACGCGTGTGTGTCTATCGTGGTGCATGAGTCATCAGTGTGGAGGTGGGGAAATAAGGCAAGTAACCATGAAATTAAATACCTATCCTGGGGAATGATCTTCATGGCAAAATTGAGCGACCCCAGCAGGAACTGAAGTTCCCTTTGGTTGCAAGAGCCCAGTTGCAAGCATAAGTTAATGCTCGCTAGGGTGCGCTCAAGCTTGTCCCGGGAAAGACTTGGCAGCATACGGACAGCAGGATTGTGAAACTTCAGGCTCAACCATACCCCAGACACCCAGACCTAGCCAGATCATAGTATGTGTGCATACACACAAATGCATTGCAGAAATAATAATAAAAAAAAATTAGTAATAAAAAAACAAAAAAGGCAGTGTGAGAACAAACCTGCATACCTACTACACAGAGCATTGAGGCGACTCATACCATAAGGTCACTCTGAACAGACCGGATAGTCACCACGGGAAAACCCAGACAAGCCGGACAGGATAGGCAGCAGGGGGAAAAACGCGAGAACACCCCCAATCAGGACGCGGCAAGTCGCCAGTAACGAGCCGAACAGGCAGACGGCCCCTGCAGCGCATATGTGCGAGCGACCGCACGAACAGGGGACCCGGGACAGAAACAAGCGAGAGGCAGGAAATCACACAGGCCCACACTGTGATGACGCCATCAGAGTGTGACAGAGGCGTCCCGGCTTGAGCTCCACTTACGTTAACAAAGAGGAGCCGTCCCGGGACCAGCAAGTCTATCCAGAAGGAGGAGGCAGCGTACCAGGAAAGGCAGACAAGCGGTGAGAGATTGTTGTATGCAGAGGAAAACCGGAGCCAAGAACCAGGATTCAGGTAAGAGGCAACAAGAAGCGAGTGGACCGTAATAAACAAGCCACTCACCAGACCAACAATGGTAGAGTGGGAGAAGATTGGTAGCCCTTATATAGGGGACCCAAGCCCCTCCCACAACTACAGGCCCAGCCTTAAATATGCCAGTATTCCAATAATAAATAAAATGTAGACCACTTTCATGGCAATGGTGTTTCCTGATGGCAATGGCCTCTTTCAAAAGGATAATGCATTCTACCAAACTGAAACAAGTGTTCATGGATGGTTTGAAGAAGTTTAAGGTGTTGCCTTGGCCCCCAAATTCCCCAGATCTAAAACTGATTGAGCATCTGTGGGATGTGCTGGAACAAAAAATCCAAGAAATGGAGGACCCACCATGATTGGTGTCAGATGCCACAAGCTATGTTCAGAGATCTTTAAACATAACCCAGATTGTTTGTTTTTCAGTGGTAGTATGGGGCAACATTTCTAACTATGATTGCCAAGACAGATTGAGATGGTAAATAAATACACGTGGCTTTCTACATTTAATTTTGTTTTTTAGATCATAGAAAAACAAATTTGCGATGTAAAAGCAGACTCTAATTAAGAAAAAGATAATAAATATAATTCATTAATTAGATGTGCTCTTTTACTGCTTTTAATTACTGGCCTCACATTTGTTGAATTAAAACACTTTGAAAAACTCTGTTAAACCTACCTGTAATCCAGACCAGAACCAAGATAGATTGACCACTGTAGCTAAATGTAAAATTGAGGATATTATTTAGAGTGGGTTTGTATGAGAGGCCTCTGAGTTGGCCAATCCAATGCACTATACGCACACAGCACATACTTTGTGCTGATTCCGTATTTCAGTGTGACGAAAGTAACTTCGCCACTGGTTTTTGGAGGGGCCTGTTTGCCAGCCTCCTACCCTGGGACTATGGGCCCTGTGATAACCCATGTTCAAAAAGTACTGTTTCTGCCCCTTGGACTTTTAACTGGAACAGATTCAAACATGTGGTGGCGGCCATCTTAAATTGTCCAGCAGTGTTTTTCCGTCGAGTGTATGGAACTGTTTTGGGCATGGGACCATGTGCAAGACTTCCAGGAAATTCCTGAACTGATCTGGGTGATTTTTGGATATGTTGTTCACCAAGATCAGGACTATCAGGTGATGTGGGGTTGTATTTTGGGGTACATTTTGTGGTTTGTAAACAAAAAAAAAGTGTGGTTTTTTTTTTTTTTTTTCTGCTTAGTGTTAACTGAGTTAGTCCATTGTCTTCGTTAATTATTTCACAGGCAGAGGGTAGGGATTGTGTACACTGTATGGGAGTGACTGAATGTAAAACTATTTTTATTGGCTTCTTGTCCCTGTGCCCCACAAAGTCCACCTGGGTGGTAACCTTGTGGGGAAAACTGGATAAAAGACCAAGCTTTTCAATAAACCCTCAGATCTGCTGAGTTTTTTTTTTTGTTTTTTTTTTTACCCTCAACATAGAACCTCGTCTCATGTGTGGGGAGGGGAAAGGCTGCATCTACCCTGGGGATTGCTATATCACTATACTCCCCAGGGATTATAATCACTAAGCTCTATTAAGAGCTTGTTCCTGCTACTCTCTCCTGGAGGAGAGGTTCACCCATTGGAACCTGGAGCCTTGTCGTGGGTCCAGGGTGGGTAGAGGACGGCGAGACACCAAGCTGCGGTGGTTCGTAGGATCTGCAGTGCTTATGGTGTCTGGGGCGGTGCTGATGGTCCTTGGTAGGCACTAGGATCATTGATTGACGTAGGGTCCGTCACACACATAGATTATTTAATTGAATCTGTTTAATGCAGAGCCCCTAGTGGCTGTGTGTCTGATAGAGGGATGTGGATATCGCTAATGCAAAGAGAGCTGGCACTGTTTATAACAACAGATACCTGACAGCACCTATGGCCCAAACCGTGATTCTGGTGCTCAGACTGTCCTTTTCAGCGTTCCAGATGGAGCTCAGAAAGATGTAGAAGATGTTATACACCCTCAGTACATCAATAAATAGAGACGTCCAAAATGTAAACCGCAATAAATTGCAATTAAATAATCCTAGTGTAGTTTAAAAAAAAAAAAAAAAATACAGTCACTGGCAGTTTCCAAAATATTGCAAAAAGAAAATAAATGTCTGTAATATTCATTAATCAGTTATTAAGTATGCCTGTTTTGTGGCTTCCTGATGTGAGACTGAAATGCTCCAGAAAAACCCTAGGAATTTGGGAAAACCAAGACAAACAGGCAGAGCTGCTTCCTCACCCAGAGGCTCTGTGAATCTGCCGATGCATTCTGAGAACCTGTGCATCGAATGTGTTAACCTGAGACCTAGTGAATCTACTGATTCAGCCTGCGCATCTGCTCACTCACAATGGATCATCCTTTGTGAAAATATGCGTGGCAACGCTCAGATTTCGTGAGAGGACCTGGCGGAGCTTCTGTCTAGAGCTCCCCGGGTCATCTCCTGCCTCCCTCCATGCTGCTGTGGGCCAGTGAGGTAGATCTTTGATCTCCCCGCCGGCCCATGGAGGCTTAGAGCAGAGCCGGCACTCAGATAGCCCCTGTCGGCTCATGCAGAGCCGGCGCTATCTGGAGATCTCCCCTGCCAGCAGGGGTCAAGTCCTGGGGAATAAAGGGTGGGAACTCTCCCAAGATTCCCACCCCCCCAAAAAAATATATACGTGTGTGTGTGTGTGTGTGTGTGTGTGTGTGTGTTTATATACGTGCACACACACTCACTTACACACATACACATATATAGACACACACATACTCAGACACACATACATTCACACACACACTTACAGACACATACATTCACAGACACACACACACACTTACAGACACACATACTCAGACACACACATTCACATACACAGACACACAGACACACAGACACACACACTCACAAATAAAAAAATGTAAATTAAAAAATGTCCACCCAGCCTCCCTACCTGGAGTGCTGGCGTGGACTTGTCCCTGGGGTCCAGTGGGTCGGGCGCCTGTCTCCCTCTCAGCCTGTGCGCACGCCTATGATTCATTGATAGTCTGTGGAACTCCCTTCCCGTCTCCGTTAGACTTTCACCCAGTCTCCATTCCTTCAAAAAATCTTTGAAAACCCACTTCCTCAGGAAAGCATATAATTTAAATTGTTAGCGGGTTTTCATTCATCCACCCCCTGCCTCCTACCCCCCTTGACTCCTCTCCTGCAACTGTCAAAAATAACCTAACCAGCCACAGCCAGCAGAAGGCACCCTCCTGCGCCTAAAAGATAGAAGGTGGATAACATTTTGGCCTGTATGTGTGTTTTGTGTTTCTGTATTTCTGTGTGGCAGTGTGTGTAACTGCATGTCAGTGTTTGTATCTGTATTCCTGTGCATCTGCATGTGTCAGCATTTGTTTCTGTGTCAGTGTTTGTATCTGTGGGTGTCTTTGTGTGGTTTTGTCTGTCTGTATCTGTATGTGTGCATATAGGAGAAAACAAAGGGTTGGCTGATCTCACCTGAATATGCTTAAATGGGGTGCTGCTGGGGGCCAATAAGTACAGTGAAAATGTGTTTTTCTGTGATTTTGTGTGTGTCCGCATGTTTGTCAGTGTTTGTATCTGTGTCTATGCAGGTGTGTATCTGTATGTCTGTATCTGTGTGTCATTATTTGTATCTCTGTCTGTGCATCCGCATGTGTGTCAGTGTTTATATCTGTGCAACTATATTAACTACAAACATTTCGCTAATATGAGGGGTACTATTTTTGGAAATGTGCTGGCAAGGGGTACCCAAGTGAAAAAAAAGTTGGGAGTCACTGCTTTAACACTAACCTTCCAGTGTTGGTGTCATAATCCCATGGTTGGTCTTAGGTTACTAAAATTTTGTGTAGTGCATAGCATCACGGACGTATTAGCCGCGAGGCAAACAAGGCATTTGCCTTGGGTGGCATTTTTCAGGGGGCGGCAAAACGCCGCCCCCAAATGCCCAGGGCAAATGCCTAGTTAGCCTTGCGGCTAACTAACATGCTGGGCGGGCGGCTGGCGAGGGAGCACTTCCTCTGAACGGTCTGCTCAGCTCCCTCGCGCGCCGCAGAGTGAGGTTGGGAGCCGGAAGATGACGTCATATTCCGGCTGCCAGCCTCACTCTGCGGCGCGCGGGGGAGCTGAGCAGGCTGCTCAGAAGAAGTGCTCCCTCGCCAGCCGCCCGCCCAGCAGCCAACAAATCAGCCCCCAGGGAGAGAGAGAACCCCACACCCCCCTAGCATTCCCAAAGGTAAGGAGGCGGGGGGGGGGGGTTAAATAAAAAAAAGTGTTAATGTGAGTCTGAATGTGTGTGTGTCTGAATGTGTGTCTGACTGTGTGTGTGTGTTTGTGTACTTAGAAGCTGGGGCGGGGGGGAAGGGTTGGGTGGGGGTGGCACGGGGGGGAAGGGGGTGCCTGATTTTTGTCCTGCCTAGGGCAGCACAAAACCAGGGTACACCACTGCATAGCATGACAAACAAATGTATATTTATGTGTGCACTGCAACTTAATCTGTAACACATATGAGAAGGCAGACTTACTAGACATGGTTAAAATATCACATTATTTATTTGTTTATAATAGATTACCAGGAAGGATACAGTTGGGTCCATAAATATTGAGACATCAACACAATTCTAATCTTTTTGGCTCTATACACCACCACAATGGATTTGAAATGAAATGAACAAGATGTGCTTTAACTACAGACTTTCAGTTTTAATTTGAGGGTATTTACATCAGGTGAACGGTGTAGGAATTACAACAGTTTGTATTTGTGCCTCCCACTTTACAAGGGACCAAAAGTAATGGGACAATTGGCTGCTCAGCTGTTCCATGGCCAGGTGTGTGTGTGTTTATTCCCTCATTATCCCATTTACAAGGAGCAGATAAAAGGTCCAGTGTTCATTTCAAGTGTGCTATGTGCATTTGGAATCTGTTGCTGTCAACTCTCAATATGAGATCCAAAGAGCTGTCACTATCAGTGAAGCAAGCCATCATTAGGCTGAAAAAACAAAATAAACCCATCAGAGAGAGAGCAAAAACATTAGGTGTGGCCAAATCAACTGTTTGGAACATCCTTAAAAAGAAAGAACGCACCGGTGAGCTCAGTAACACCAAGAGACCTGGAAGACCACGGAAAACAACTGTGGTGGATGACCAAAAAATTATTTCCCTGGTGCAGAAAACACCCTTCAAAACAGATGGCCAGATCAAGAACACTCTCCAGGAGGTAGGTGTATGTGTGTCAACGTCAACAATCAAGAGAAGACTTCAGAGCGAATACAGAGGGTTCACCACAAGATGTAAACCATTGGGGAGCCTCAAAAACAGGAAGGCCAGATTAGAGTTTGCCAAACAACATCTTAAAGCCTTCACAGTTCTGGAACAACATCCTATGGACAGATGAGACCAAGATCAACTTGTACCAGAGTGATGGGAAGAGAATAGTATGGAGAAGGAAAGGAACTGCTCATGATCCAAAGCATATCACCTCATCAGTGAAGCATGGTGGTGGTAGTGTCATGGCGTGGGCATGTATGGCTGCCAATGGAACTGGTTCTCTTGTATTTATTGATGATGTGACTGCTGACAAAAGCAGCAGGATGAGTTTTGAAGTGTTTCGGGCAATATTATCTACTCATATTCAAATGCTTCAGAACTCATTGGACGGCGCTTCACAGTGCAGATGGACAATGACCCGAAGCATACTGCAAAAGCAACCAAAGAGTTTTTTAAGGGAAAGAAGTGGAATGTTATGCAATGGCCAAGTCAATCACCTGACCTGAATCTGAGCATGCATTTTACTTGATGAAGACAAAACTGAAGGGAAAATGCCTCAAGAACAAGCAGGACCTGAAGACAGTTGCAGTAAAGGCCTGGCAGAGCATCACCAGGGATGAAACCCATCATCTGGTGATGTGTATGCGTTCCAGACTTCAGGCTGTAATTGACTGCAAAGGATTTGCAACCATGTATTAAAAAGTGAAAGTTTGATTTATGTCTGTTAATCTGTCCCATTACTTTTGGTCCCTTAAAAAGTGGGAGGCACATATACAAACTGTTGTAATTCCTACACCATTCACCTGATTTGGATGTAAATACCCTCATATTAAAGCTAAAATGTTTGCAGTTAAAGCACATCTTGTTTGTTTCATTTCAAACCCATTGTGTTGGTGTATAGAGCCAAAAAGATTAGAATTGTGTCGTGGTTTTTTTTTTTTTTTTTTCTCCAATATTTATGGACCTGACTGTATATGGACATTTCTCTTGTTTTCTCTGTCTTGAGTCATAGTAATGGGAATTAATAATGCTGTTTATCAAGCTAGGATTACAAGAGGAAAGAACCACTGAACACAACTCCCAGCACATTACTGCACTGCATAAATTATAAATGAAGGTAAACCAAAATGTAGGAACACTGCGGATGGTAAGACCGTAAAGCATAATAATACGATGTGCTGTTAGCAAACACCAGGGAGACCCCTAATTAGCACCAGCGATCAGCCTGAGTCTTGTATCAGCCATTGCCCAGGTTCGGGAATCCACGCAGACAGCCGGGATATGCAGCAAGGCAGGGGAAGAGTGTGGCTTCTCTCCAGTCCGAGGCCGTCACGAAGGCCCAGATCCTATGATTGTTAATGCATTATATGAACAATTAAATAAACATGTATTGCCTAATCTGTTCCTAGGCGCTCTGTTTAGTCAGCCTGATGGCAGATGAAAGCAAATCCCTAGCACTCCAGGATGAGACACTGCATGTGAAATAGGACAAACAAACACAAAAGTGAGAAAAACAACCCGAACGAAGTGCTTGTCGCTGTGGGATTCACAGCACTGGCGGCCTGTCTTACAGCCTGTTTTACAAATCACTACTTTGACAGCCATCTTTCATTCAGGTGAAGTGGTCTGGGTGATTATCGTGTTATAGGGAGGAGAGACAGGTTACAAAATATAGCCCCATTACCTCTTTGCTTGGAAGGTGAATGGGAGTGGAGAGCCCCCTAGTGTCAACTCTCAATATGAGATCCAAAGAGCTGTCACTATCAGTGAAGCAAGCCATCATTAGGCTGAAAAAACAAAATAAACCCATCAGAGAGATAGAAGTGGGAGTGCAATTATAATTATTATTACTATTTATAAAGCGCCAACAGATTCCACAGCGCTGTACAATTAGTGGAGAAACGTACAATATACACAGACAAATACAAGAGGTAGAGAGAGCCCTGCCCGTAAGCTGATATCTAGCCATTGGAGCTCTTTTATACAAAGTGCGTGGCTAGACGGCCCATGAGCTTACAAACTAAATGGTTACTTTGTGTGGCAGGATGGAGGGGTTTCTTCCAGCCTGCCAGTCTCTCTGCTTTCTCCTCTGCAGGTTTTCCTGCTATTCCCACCCTCTCCTTAGTTGGGGTGACTAATCGCCAGCGGCGACGCCTGCTTAGTCGAACTCGCTGCTCTGCCCGGTTTCGTTTTTCAACTCTCCTGTGGTAGCTGTCGGTTACTTCGGTTTTATTGATCAGCAGTAATAGAGGTTCCGCTGCAGGACTGAGTGGGAGCCACATGGTCTGAGGCATATAGTTACTCTTTATTCATATTTGTTATTTATGTTGGATGTCTTTTAATTATTGATTATTAAAGCAGCCAGTGATGGTTTTCCCTTCCAATCTGTTGTTTGTGTCTCCTTATATTGGGGGAGGTTTGAGAAAATTGTAAGGGAGGTTGCATTATCTTATTTGTATCTATG